AAAAAAAAAAACAAACAAATACTGTTTATGTTCAATTGGTGGACATGTGTGTGTGTTACTGGTGTGTAAGGTAGTCGATACACTTTAAAACACTTGGCACTGTCACTTTTTTTTTTTTAAGATTTTATTTATTTATTTGACAGAGAGAGACACAGCGAGAGAGGGAACACAAGCAGGGGGAGTGGGAGAAGGAGAAGCAGGCTCCCCGCTGAGCCAGGAGCCCGATGTGGGGCTAGATCCCAGGACTCTGGGATCATGACCTGAGCCGAAGGCAGACGCTTAGCGATGAGCCACCCAGGCGCCCCAGCACTGTCACTCTTTTTAGTTTTACTTTTAGACATTTAGTGTGTGCAGTAGTATACACTGTGGTTTTTATTTCCAAATCTCTGGTTGCTAATGAAGCACTTTTTCATATATTTGTTGTCCATTTGCATTTTTTCTTTTATTGAAGAGCCTATCCAAACCTCTTGTTCATTTTTCACTTTGGGTATTAATTTGTAGGAGTTATTACATAACTCCTTTGTTGTTACATGTGAGGCAAGTAACCAAGTACTAAAGGTCGAATATCATGCCTGCAAATTATTTTAATCTCCTTACCTTCAAAAGAGCTTATCATAAACATTTAACTATACACATGGAGAGTTGTAGAAAGAGGTCCACTACGCATGCAGAATACTAACAAATGGTCAATGTGCAACAAGGTAACCTGAATAATACATCCAACTTCAATAACGGGTGCCCACAGCCAGAGCAGTTCCGTCCAGTGCTCACCAGAACGCCCGCAATCGCCGAGTCACTGAGAAGAGGGTCCTGCGGCCGTTTTCCACCACTGCGTACACGTTTCTCCCCTGGAGAAAGGGCACAGTGTTTGTTGTGGCAGCTTTTGAAGAGAGGCGCACACCGGACGGAGAAAAGGCCCTGCCTCCACCGGGGACCCCGAGCCATGGCCACGACCCCCACCCGCGCTGGCGGAGCCGACAGAGGCTCTCGGAGGGACCGGGGCGGCCGCAGTCCCTCGGGCGCGGTCTACCGGCGGGGAGGAAGCGCCGCGATTCCCAACCAGCCCAGGAAGTTCGAAACCCCCGGCGCTGAGCGCCCCGCAAGAGGCCAACAGAGTGGAAAACTTACCTCCCACGCAGGGCGGAGCGGGAAGTGAGATGTTATCCGACGAGCACTTCCGCTTCCGGTTTCAGACACGAGGTCAGCGTAAGGGGCGGAGCCTCAGGAGCATCCGGGTCGGATTACGGGTGGCGGCCTCTCCTTTCAGACGCCGGGGGAGGCGGTGGGACCTGGAACCAGAGCGGGCTGTCCACAGCGACCGGGCCGGAGAGCCGGGAGGAGCGCAGGGGACCGAGTTGGAAGAGGGACAGACGCGGTGGGCGGGGTTTGCCTCCGGGTTCCGGGCCAAGGAAGCTCACCAAGTGCCTTTCTACAAGTCTTTTCTCCATGTTGGTTCAGCTCCACGTAGCGCTATGCATATTTATAAAGATAATCCTGCTAGTCCACAAAAGGAACTCCTAGCTCATTCAGTCCTCTTTTTAGACCTTTAGTCTTGTTTGACATAGAATTCTCATAGCACATAATTAACACGTTTAAAATGTACCGTACAGTGGCTTTTAGTATAGTCGGAGCTGTGTATCCATCACCATCATCAATTTTGGTACATTTTCATAATCACAAAAGGAAACCCAGTACCCTCTTAGCTATAATACCCACCTCACCCCAAGCCGAAGGCAACAACGAATCTACTTTTTGTCTCTAGGAATTTGCCTATTCTCACATTTCATGTAAACAAAATATTACAACATGCGGTCTTCTTTGTCTGGCTTCTTTGATTTATATAACGTTTTCAAGGTCACCCATGTTGTAGCATGTACCAGTACTTCATTTCTTTTTCTTACTAAATAATATTCCACTGTATGGGTGTGTCACAATTTATCCATTCATTAGTTGATGGACATTGGGTTACTTCCCCTTTTTTGATTATTATAAATAATATGGGATGTTTTTTGAACAGCGATCAGAGGAAAATTCATATTCTTAAACGTTTATATCCTGAAAAATGAGACAATAATATATATCAAGCTAAAAAACAGACAGAAAGCCTAGAAATAGAATATCATTGCAAACCAACATAGAAAGTCATATAGGAACTTAACACTACAAAAGAGCATCAAGCCCAGATGGATTGGTTTTTGGCTGAGTGGGGGTGGTAACAGCTTTATTGGAACATAATTCACATACAATTCACCCATTTAAAGTATACATTCATTCAGGGGCGCCTGGGTGGCTCAGTCGTTAAGCGTCTGCCTTCAGCTCAGGTCA